CCGCCCTCTCCAGAATCACCTGAGTGAAGAATTCACTGAGGGGAATTCAATTAATAGGTTGCTTTATTTGTAGAATACAAAACCAAAAACCTTTTCAATGTCTATTGCCTAGGGAACTGACTACAAATTGACTACTTATTCTAGATCAATAGGCCTAGTCTCAAAGCAATTCTCTTATGAAGCAATTAATCAGACAACTCTTTAACACATTTTGCACAGGAAATTCACATTATATATATACCCTCCTTTTAACTTCACCTTATCTTTTTGTTGGAAGAAAGAGATAAGTATTATGATCTCATTTTTACTCTCAGGGTGCTATAGTCTGAATGTTTATATCCCTCCAAAGTTCATATGTTGAAATCCTAACCCTCATGGTGATGTGTTAGGAGGTGGAGGCCTTGCGAAGTGATTGGGTCATACGGGCAGGGTCCTTACGAATGAGACCGGTGCCCTAATAAAAGAGGCCGGAGAGAGACCCCTTGCCACTTCCACCATGTGAAGACACAGCCGGAAGGCGCCCTCTGTGAACCAGAAAGCAGGCCCTCACCAGACACCAAATCTGCTGGCCTGGGGATTTCCCGACCTTCACAATTGTGGGAAATAAATGTATATTATCTATAAGCTACCCAGTTTATGATATTTTGTTACAGAAGCCCAAACAGACTAAAAGAGAAAATGATTTACTTATCCAAGCTCACTCATGTCTAGGAACAAAATCCAGAAATCCTGACTCTTAAACTTTATCTGGAAAAGCACCAGGTCAAAGAATCCTTGCAGGTCAAAACAAGGATCTCTGAGGAAAAAAAAAAAAATTAAGGGGGGTAAGGGAAGAATCTTTGCAGGAACCGGCTTATGTAACCTATGGAGAAAACCAGTTATCATCTGGTTCCTAAATAATTCCTGTAGCCCTTATAGTAACCAATTAATAACATAAAGATAAATTATTTCCTGCAGTTTTTCAGCTTAGGGATATGTTCCTGTAAGGGACTCACTTGATGGAATTGAGAAGCTGTCTTGGCATTCTCTAGGATAAATTTGAAAGTGTCTTAGTGGCTGGCACTGTTCCTGCAACATTGTCCCCTCTAGGCTTGCACATAGAAGTCACAGTGTGGCTGGGGATTATTTAATGAAAGTGTGAACTCTTACCTGAAGACGTGGCCTGGCAACCAATTTATTTGAATAGATCACCATAGTAAATGACTAACCTCTGGGTAATAAAAAGGTGTCACCCACAGGAATACCCTTGGTCTCTAAGGAAAATGCTATAAATCTTAAGACTTTGAGTCATGAGGCCTCATGGCCAGGCGTGGTACTCTTAGAGGGTTAGCCATTGGTAATAAAAAAAAAAAAAAAAAAAAAAGTAGATAGCCAAATGAATCGCTGTGGAGGCAAAGGAAGAAACACACTCTTGCCTTTTCTTCTGTTCATTTCGGAGATAGACGAAGTTCATGCCCTGGCTACTTAGGGGGCTTGCTTACACCTGATTGTATGATCAGACATCCTTTTGGCTTCACTTCCTTACTTGTGCATCCCCATGAATACTTTGGTGCCAACTTCATGCCCCATAAAGCTAACAAAAGGATCCTGATATGATCAAGGTGTGCCTGGGAATTTATAATTTGTACACATGCAATAAACAGCTCTTTATTACCCAATCCAAAGTCATATACCTCTTCTAAGATAAGCGTAAAAAGGAACCTAATAAAATCAATTAAAATATCATTGAGTAACTTCTATGTACAGATCACTGTGTTATTTGAAATAAGGCACAAGGCAGTGTTAGCCCTCAAACAAATAGGCTGGCTGGTTTCTACTGATGCAGAGATTGTAGGCCCCTGATAAAAGCAAGGGTTCTAAGAGAGGCATCTCCACAGGAGAGAAAGGAGGAACCTTGGGAAAGCAGGTGGCGGTCCAGAAGGTCAGGAGGGAAACTGGGTAAGAACTTCAGTTAGAGCCAGAAGAGTAGGAGATGAAGATGAGAACAAAAAGGGAAAGTCTTTAAGGATGAGCAGAAAAGAGAAAGAAAGACAGTAATTGGAGGAGAAAACAGAGCCTCTCTCTCTCTCTCTCTCTCTCTATATATATATATATATATATATTTTTTTTTTTTTTTTGAGACGCAGTTTCGCTCTTGTTGCTCAGGCTGGAGTGCAATGGCGCAATCTCAACTCACCTCTACCTCCGCCTCCTGGGTTCAAACGATTCTCCTGCCTCAACCTCCTGAGTAGCTGGGATTACAGGCATGCACCACCACACCCGGCCAATTTTGTATTTTCAGTAGAGACGGGGTTTCTCCATGTTGGTCAGGCTGGTCTCCAACTCCCGATCTCAGGTGATCCACCCACCTCAGCCTCCCAAAGTGCTGGGATTGCAGGCGTGAGCCACCATGCCCGGCAGCAGAGCCAATTTTTTAAAGTCACCTTTTAAATAGGAAAATAGAACCAGAGAGAAAGGAAAGAAAGGAGAATAGAAGAACTATGAAAATATAAAAAGTGAGTGAACCTAGAACAAGCCAGAAAAGAGGAGAGAAATTTCCCAGAAATTAGCACTACAGTGGGCCAAATAGGGAAAGAATGTCTCACAAAAGCTGAAGTTCTTATGAAATGTAAACAAAAATGTTGGCGTTAAGTCTTGTAGACAGCAGAATACAGGAAGAGCCAGAAAAGAGCAAAGCAGCAGCTTTCCAGTTTTCACATTTGGACCCCGGGGAGCCCAGGCAAGTTTGGCAATTCTGTGTCTACATGGTGTTAATGCATCTGGGTGACAAGTGAAGAGTTGGGTCAGGCCTCAGGGCATTTGGTCTTTCTGGTGTCAACAACTGGATTCTGGGTGGCTGGCAGACTTAGGGACTGAAAGAGAGGCTGAGTGTTCTGGGGAACCATTTATGCCTTGAAGACAAAGCAATTTCCAATTCCAGAACGAAATGACTGTAGCTGTCTCCTGTTTCTAGTCCCAGTTATCTGAATGTACTTACTCATATCCAAGGCCTTTAGTGGGGGCCTAATATATACCTCAACTATTTTGCAAAATCCACCCCTTCTAGCTCGCTGAATGAACAGGCTCACCAAAACCTGGTCAACAAATGAAATAGGGTCGGTGGCAGTAATGTGCCCAATGATGGTTTATGAGGTCTTACCAATTGGGTTGCAACTAGAGCCCCTTGGGAACAGTGAGAGCCAGAACCTGCTTAGAAGGGAGTCAGCCCCTCCTGCCTTGGATGGGCAGGCCAACAGCATCAGGGAGAAGAGGTGTCCCAGGTGCCACCGCAGGTGCAAAGCCCCTTCTCCAGCCCAGGCTCAGCCCTGGCCACCTCAGCCTAACCTTCCTTGTTTGTCCCTCAAGCCTAACCCAGGCCTGTCTTCAGCACTAGCCACCACCACACCCACATTCCTACCAGTCACTTTTCCTGTCTACACACAGGAAGTGGCTGCTGCCACTACTACTGCCCTTATTGCAGCCACGCCCAGGGCTATGCTCTTAACCACGCTATAGGGCTATGATCTTAACCACGCTGCCTGATCTTAACCACCTGCCTCCTGAGGAAATATAAAACCAGGGAAAGGGATAGAGAGTATGCGAGCTTGCTAAGGCTGCTGTAACAAAACACCAGGAACTGAGTGACTTAAATAACAGAAATTTATTTTCTCCCAATTCTGGAGGCCAGAAGTCCAAGATCAGATGTTGGGAGGGTAGGTTTCTTCTGAGGCCTCTCTCCTTGGCTTGTACGTCTCTCTATATCTTCACATGGTCTTTCTTACATGCCTGTCTGTGTCCTAATCTCCTCTTCTTAGAAGGACACATTCGTATTACATTAAGACCTCCTTTTAACTTAATTGCCGCCTTAAAGGCCCTATCTCCAAATACAGTCACATTCTGGGTGCCCGGGGCTAGGATGGTACCGATATGAATTTTTTTGCAAAGAGAGAGGGACACAATTCATTCCATATCAGAAAAGGGCAGGGGAGGAGCCGATTGTCAGTTCAGCAAGTGTGGTCAGCAGAGATTTCTCCAAGGAGGTGGTATTTGAGCTGAGACCTAAATAAGGAGTAGGGGCAGGCTTGTAGAGATCTGAGAAAGTGGGAATGGCAAGAATAACACTGTGAGTGGCAACAGGGACCTGTGCCAGCATAGACACCCATGGGGCACCTCCTCAGAATCCCCTCCCTGCCATCCTCATAAAGTGGCCCAGCAGCCAAGCTAGTACTTCATGACCTCTCACCTTAAATGGAGTTGGGAGAATTGTGGAGTCCTAACTAGGGGCTGAGGGAAGTGGAGAATTGGGTTGGTGGGATCAAGGGAAAGCAAAAAGAGAAAGCAGACAAGGCGCGGTGGCTCACACCTGTAATCCCGGCACTTTGGGAGGTGGAGATGGGTGGATCACTTGAGGTC